TTGTATGCATAATTATTTCCAGAGTCGGACCGTGGACGTGGAACATTCCCAGACGTTTCGCCGGCATCGTCAATGAGTTTTACCATTCATAGCACTATCTTACAACTCGTCAAAGAGACAAGTGAAGCCGATCCTTTGACCAAACTTGTGCTAAACATATGTGGTATCTCCCCTTCTGCCCTGGGCTTCATGTCGCTCAAAGGGGCACACCACACAATCTAAATAATCTATTTATGACTAGAGTTCTTGCATTCGGTACATTTGACTAAAAAACGTCAATTTGCTAGTACCTGGTTTCGCTTCGTTCAACAAGCTTTCGTGCATTTCCCACCTTTTCTGCATACCAACACTCTGATTTGACGAGTTTTTCCGTTACTGTGGCCTCACACGTCTAACGCATTGATAATGGCTAATTCTCAAAGCAATTAATTAACGAATAGCCTATCGCTGGTTTAATACATCATTGGCTAATGAGTTTTATTATCCGGTTTCTCTAGCACCCACAAGTCTTATGTGCACTTCTGCCTAAGCTCTTGCTACTTCTGCACTATTTGTGGGTAGCGGCAAATTGCTTCTCGCGTCACACACACATCACAAGATGGTTGTCAAGCCATTAGGGTGCCAGTGGAGACCAACAAAGGCTTTCGCATAGACGAGTCTGATTGTCCTTACCTCCGATCGATAAGGTACAGCTCATCTGCCTGCTAGCCGGTCTGTTGCCTCCACGCATGCCAACGGGCTCCACTTGTGCCATCTCTGACAGTTGGATTCTGTGAATCAGTCCATGTGGTCGTCTACGGCCGGTCTCATCTCACGATCTCTGCAAATCCCATAAATGTCCCAGTCGAAGGGGTCCACGTTGAACTCCAACTGGCAGGGTTATCCACGAGTTGTCTATGATCTGTTGCCTCGGCAACAGAAGAACGCCTCTTTCATCGTCCTCTTCGACATGGCCTCGGCGATGCCGCGTTTCCTTTTGGCCCACAGAGCCGTGCGTCAGCACTACCACGAGTTGACCTACGAAGAGAGGCTTGATCTCGTCCGAGCTGCCACCGCGATGGTCGAACACGGCGGCTTCACGTCTGCCAGCCTGTCTCTTCCGCTCGTACCAACCAAATCGGGTTCATCTTCGCCAAGCGCTTCGGCCGACCGCGAGGCTCCAGCGACGCGCCGGCGAGGCGGCTTAGGTCGCTTGATCGGCGTGGCGCGTTATCCGCCCCTGGAAACGTTCACAGCCATCCTGACGGTGCCGGAGATCTACCAGTTCATGGAGGTTTATAAGCGCAACTACAGCAGCATACCACTTTGGCCAAGTCATCGTTGGGTGACTGAGTTTTGGACGGTATCCAAGGACTCCACGGCAGACATTAAAGACTATCCGCGAAGTGTATTGGCCGCCCAAACGCACCAAGAATGGCTGACGCCAGAAATGGTATTGCCGCGATCGACGCCAATTCGTCGAGTATACTCATCGAAAGGGCGGCGAATGCGGACACGGCCATCGGTACGTCGCCATTAAAGCTGATTTAAGAGCATGCAAGTAAGCTGTGCTAAAAAAAGTTAGATCTCTCGGTTGACATTCATTCCAAGCGAAAATGTCTCATGTTGAAGAGGTTCAAAGATCCATTCCAACCAGATACGATAACGAATTCCTCTCTGCCAACT